TGTGACCAGCTGCAAACAGCCATCATCCCCTCACCCAGGCTGGCCAGGCACCCCAGTGGGGACCCCCACCCTGATCCAGGACACCCTTCAGGGCAATCCAGCTGGCCCTCACCCGTGCACCAGGCCTCTATCCTATATAGTAAAAGGGCAATATGCCTCCCAGCACCGGGATCAGCCTGACGGGGGCAGCGCCCAAACCCCCTAATCAGCCCTGCTCTGTGCCTGATAGGGGGGAGCTCCCCAACCCCCTGATCTCCCTGCGGCTCTGTGTGTGACAGGGTGTGGTGCCCCAAACTCCCCCCCCCCCCCCGCCAAAGGCCCTGCTCTGTGTTTGACGGGGTAGAGCCATAACCTCCCCCTCGGCCCTGCCCTGAGTGTGACAGGGTGCGGCGCCCCAACCCCCTGATCTGCCCTGCTCTGTGTGTGACAGGGGGCGGTGCCCCAACTCCCCTATTGGCCCTACTCTGTGAGTGACAGGGGGGAGCTCCTCAACCCCCTGATCGGCCCTGCTCTGTGAGTGACAGGGGGGAGCTCCCCAACCCCCTGATGGGCCCTGCTCTGTGCATGACAGGGGGTGGCACTGCAACCTCCCCATCTATCCTGCCTTGAGTGTGACGGTGGCGGTGCCCCTACCCTCCAATTGGCCTACCCTGAGTGTGACTGAGGGTGGCATCGCAACCTCCCAATCTGCCCTGCTCTGTGCATGACAGGGGGCGGCGCCCCAAATCCCAATCAGCCCTGCTCTGAGCCAGACCAGGGGCTGCACCTAGGGATTGGGCCTGCCCTCTGCCACCCAGGAGCAGGCCTAAGCCAGCAGGTCATTATCTCCCGAGGGGTCCCAGACTGTGAGAGGGCACAGGCCAGGCTGAGGGACCCCCCCCTCTACCCTCCCGCAAGTGCACAAATTTTTGTGCCCTGGGCCTCTAGTATATATATAATAAAGGTTGGAAAAAGATATGCAATAAAAACTCTAACAAAATTTATGTGTTATAAATACCTTATCTGTCACAAACTTTTTGAAGTTCCAAATGGCATCTTTAGAAAAGCAGAAGCTTCCTAAACAAAGGTATGGAATAGAATGGATTAGGAGAGGACAACTTTATAAAGGCTACTCAAGGAGACTTTCTGCAGACCTGCCTGGTAAGAATAAGCCAGCTAGATTGAAATATGTGAGGAAAGACATCTCATATAAAGTCATGAAAATGTTCATCAAATCTGCATATTACATTTTCTTCTCAGATAAAGGCAGCTTGTAAAAAATAGGAAGGAAGCAAGTCCAGAAAAGAAGATACTGCAGAGAGAGAAAGAAGGGGACAACTCCAGGGGTGTTAAAAATAGGGAGAGTGATTGGGAAAGATGGGCGGGGAAGAGAGGTCAAAGGCCAGACCCAACCTTTGGTTATACCTTGGAATAGTTAGAGTCTTTCCAGATGAAAGGAACACACGTGTGACTCAAAATGGCTTAAACAAGAAGGAATTTTACCAGTTTATACAGGTAGAGTTCAGATATAAGGCAGGAGTTGAGTCTGAAACCATCAGGGCTTTAGCTCTTATTTCCTGCTTTCTTAGCTTTGTCCTCAATAGAGACAGAGATAGAGACAGAGCTAGAGATAGAAACAGAAATAGAGACAGAGATCAGTAAAGATAGAGCTGATAGGAAGAGATATATAAGGGTGTAAGCATATGTCTGTTATTTCCAGGCTTTTCTGTTCCCCTTACTCCCCCAAGTTTCTGGGTTTGCTTACCTGGCTTCTTCCCCTCCCAACTCTTTGAGACAGGTTCTGATAACCAGTTCCTTAGACTGGTGATAGAAGTGAAGAAGGGCAGATGGGCAAAGGGCACCGAAGCTAGGACTGGAGGTGGAGTTTTCTGGAATTTTTATAAAATCGTAGAAAAAGAGAAGCCAAAAGGCATGAGAGATGATTAGGTAAAAGGGGGTATTTTGAAAAGAGATTCTTTTCAAAATACCTTTAATATTACAGCCTTTTAAATAAAATGCTTGAGTTGTTTTGGGAAAAAAAACACAGAACTTTTTAATTTTAATGACATACAAGTTATCAACTTTCCCTTTCAGGATTAGAGTTTTCTGAACCTTGCTGAAGAAATTTTACATAATCCCAGGTCATTGGGTTTTTCTCCACTATTTTTCCTAGATTTTTTCTAATTTTGCCTTTTATATTTAAGCCATAATTCATTTCAAATTAATGTTTGGATATGTAAAGAGGAGGGACAGATTTTATAGTTTTCCCCATGACGATTACTTGGATCATCAGTTCTGGAGGGGCTTGGCAAGGTGGTTCATTGATGATGGGTGTTACCAGCCGGAGCACCTGGGGCTGGAGTGTCTATTTCCAAGATGGCTTCTTCACTCACAGGTCTAGTGCTCAGGCTCCTTGATCTCTCTCTCTGTCATGCTATCTTTATCTCCACCTTGTATCTCACCCCCAATGAGGGTTTCTCAGTGTGCCTCGGGATTCTCATTGACTGGTTGGACTCCGTACACAGCCCCTTGTAATTTAAGAGAACAGGTGGAAGTAGATAGCCCATTTATGGTGCAGAACTGGTAGAATGTCCCTTCCTGCACACTCTACTGGAGAAAGCAGTCACAGGAAAGCTCAGATTCGAAGGGAGGGATACTGACCACATCTCCATGGAAGGAGTATCCACAAATTTGTGCCCATCTTTAATACCACAGCATCATATTGAAAAGAGTGCCCTTTCCCCACTGAATTACATTAGCACAGTTATCATAACTTGAGCATTTAAAAATATATTTTTAAATTAATTTCAGAGAGGAAGGGAGAGGAAGAGAGAGAGAGAGAGAGAGAGAGAGAGAGAGAGAGAGAGAGAGAGATGGAAACATCAATGATGAGAGAGAATCATTGATCAGCTGCCTCCTGCATGGCCCCACTGGCAATCGAGCCCACTACTCAGGCATGTGCCCTGACCGGGAATTGAACCGTGTCCTCCTCATTCCTAGGTCCATGCTCAACCACTGATCCACACCTGCCAGGCTTAAATGAGCATTTATATGTGAATCTATTTCTTCCCTCTTCTATTCTTATACAGTTAAATATATATTTGCCATATGACCCAACAATACTATTTCTCCATGTTTTCACAAGATAACTAAAAATCTATATTAATGAAAAAACTTTTTCATGAATGCTTATAGCAACTTTATCTATAATTGTTCAAACCTAGGAACAATTCAGATGTCCTTTAACTGGTAAATTGTTATGTATTTAGCAATATAAGGGACATCACTATTGATTTACACATGGATACATGTTAAATACATTTTGCTAAGTAGAAGAAAACACTCAAAAGACTACTTAATTTATTTGTATGCTATTATGAAAAAAGAAAAATGGTAAGGATGGAAAATGGATCTATAGTTCCTAGGGGTAAGGAGTAGGGGTGAGATGTTGACAACAAAGGGATAGCATGAGAGAATTTGGGGGTAGATGACACTCTTTTGTATCACAATTATAATGGTGGTTACATGACTCTATGCATTTTTCAAACCCATAGAACTGTACACCACAAAACGAACCAAATACAAAATGAGCAATATGCAAATAATGCATGATAGTCAGTAAATGTGTTTCTTATAGAGGTATGGGTTAATATTTCTGATACTACTTTATGTGTATGTGTTATAATTGAAAAAAAAAGTACAGATATTGTAGAAAATGAAATCCAAGTTTTTTTCTCATTGACTGAGAAAAACCTTACAAATGAGTAAAGGGGGATAGGTAAGTGTGTGAGCTGTCAGATGTGAAGCTGTGACCAGCAGGGCTAAGGTTCAAGGTCTGGAGAAGGGGTTGATGCACAAATGGATATACTAGACAAGAAATATAAATTTAGAAGGCATAAGGGGAGCCAGGTGGAGACCTTGCTCTCTAGTGGAGAGGTTCCCTGAATCTCTGGACCCATCAGCTTTTTATTTACTAGAATATACATTTGCCCTTTAGCAAAGCAAATAGGCATATCAAAGGTAAAGTTTGGTAAACAGTAAAAGGATTACCAGGTTAGGGGATTGCCTTGAGCCACCATTGTCTTGACAGAACAATCAGTGCATAGCTTTTATCCCTTGCTAAAGCCCAAGGTCCATCAGCCTTCTGTGTTCCCTGCTGCACTTTCATGTTAGTATAGACAATGGGTAGCTTCCAGCATAAGTGGACCCTGTGGTGTTATATTGGAGCTGGAGATATTTGTATGAACTTGTAATATCTGTATATGCACACATACACACACACAAACTTGGCTCTCATTTTATGCCATATGTTTATTTATATTTTTTGATATATACACATAGATAAATGGATACAGAAATAAATAAAATGTGAATGTACACATGGGTCAGTATACATACACATATTTTTGTGCTCTATATGCTGAGAGGATTTAAAAACAATGACACTCTGAGCCCCTATATCATCTTTAACTTGGGAAATTGCTCCCCATTTATTTCTGCTGGGCTTTATGATGAATTTTCTGGTTTCCCTGATGATCAGTCCTCTGCTTTAAGAACCCAAAATCAGGAAAGAATGAACCATTTTCTTGGTTTGGCATGTATAAAATTTGCACTATTTGGTATTTTAGGCCCTGGGCAAACTTAGTCACACCCTTCCCTTGCATATTCTAGGCTACAGGCCCCTCTGGCAGTATTGCTCTGTATCCTGCTGGTAATGATGTAATAGACCAACATTAGGACACTAGTGCTCCTGGGATGTTTCACTTGAAAAGAGTCTGTTCCTGCCTATGTGGTTATCATGAAAGCAATGACACTCTAGTAGCAATAAGCACATTTGGAGCCCAGATATTTTTCTAAATACCATTCTGCAATAAACGGAACCAGGGCTCCTTGGTGAAGTGGTTTATTTGGCAGGGAAAATATTAGATATGCTTAGAATATCTTGTGGTACCAGAAAACAAGGTAGTTCTCCAAACAAAACAAAACAAAATAAAACAACACACAAGAAACCAATCCTAACATAGATTAAATATATAATTTTATGAAAACAAAAAGTAGATTGAAGAACATATGCAGTATCATTCTATTTATATGAAGTTAGAAATATCTAGAAGTGGACATATATTAAAGGATGCTAGCATATGTGGAGATAATATAAAGACAATCAAAGACATGATAAACATGCACAATATTTTTCTTATTTGCTAAAAATAAAAACACTGTTGCACTTTCAACAGCTAAGTAGCTCCCATAATCAGGAAGACTTCATTTCTTTATTTCACATTCATCTTTCCACTGTTGCAATTAATTCCATCTGTTTTACATTCAGTAGGTCCAGTGATTGCATCTTCTGGGTAGTAGCCAAGCTTAGAATTGAAGATTGATTGTAGCTTTTTTTCTTTAGAGCAAATAATTCCAAGTCTTAGAGATAGTGTTCTCTAATCATTTGGCCATATTTGTTTTATTTCTCTGGTCTTCTTTTAGTTTTCCTTATCTTTTGGCTTGAAAACCTTGTTCAGTACAAAGCTGTGGAATTGACTACTCCTGAGTATAATGAGTTGGAGACCTCTTACCTCTTGGATGCTATATCCTCCCTGATATCAGTTAGAAAAACCACATATATTGGTTCCAAATTCCATTTCCAAAAAATCCTTAATAAGGTAGCACTCTATTCCACAATTCCTTAGATATACCCATGCCATAGAACGGTGAAGTTTTTCTTTTTCTCCACTTTTTCAGATCAGAGTGTCATTCTTATTTAAGTAGGTAAGTTGTGTTTTTGATGGCTCAGACAGTTTGCAGTCATGGAAACATCTTTCTATAAAGTGCAAATAATACTATAATAAATATATGGAATATAAATTCCACTTTTTTCAGAGCATGTATGAATTTATTATTACAGTATTTTCATATATATGCTTATATAATAAACTAAATGTAAATTAAGAACAATGACAGCAAACTGAAACTAATATTTACACTAGAGGTTCCAAAGTTACTAAAATCAAAGATATTATTAATTTTTTTTGAAGTTTTGTAAAACCTCCTGGCAACCTTCTCTTGATAATCTTTGGCTCTGGTTATGTCTGATTGTGAGCCTTCTTGCCTGTGACCTCAGCATGTTGGATACATATATTTCCTCTACTTATCTTGCATTTACTGTCTTTTTCTTCTGTTTTAACTCTCCATTGACAGTGACTATCAATTGCTTCAGCTAAGACATAAAATTATATTATAAGCTTGTGAAATTTTTCTGTGAGCTAAGTTAACTTTTTGGGGGGTTATGGTTTTTAATAATCTAGTTTGGTGTAGGAATAGGACTTTGGGAATCAAGATAAATGGGTGGGGCCCTACCTGGTTTGGCTCAGTGGATAGAGAGTCGGCCTGTGGACCAAAGGGTCCCGGGTTCATTTCCAGTCAAGGGCACGTACCTCGGTTTCAGGCTCCTCCCTGGGCCTGGGCCCTGGTAGGGGCTCGTGCAGGAAGCAACCAATCAATGTGTTTCTCTCACATCGATATTTCTCTCTGTCTTTCTCTCTCTCTTCCACTGGCTCTAAAAATCAATGGAAAGTTATCCTCTGGTGGGGATAAAAAAAAAATATAAATGGGTGGGTAATACGCCAAATATACTCTTTAATGAATGACGTATCTGAGTCAATGACAGGTACTGGGTAATAGTCAATGATATTTTCCATTTCTATCCTAAAACAGAGAGATCATTACTGGTGATATTTAGAAGTTTATTTTTTAGCTTATCAGATGTGAGTGGGCAAGTCCGTCTGTTGTGAAATTTTGAGAGCAGATTTCTTATCTCACCTGGAATTCAAACCACTTTATTAAGATATGAGTAGCAGAGGACGTCTGTTCCAGCCAATACGTTCTTTGCAGTGCATTGATATCATTCATGGAATTTGTATTACAAGACTTGGGTTTGGTTTTGAACTCCATACTCACAAATGTGGAGGCATCAGAAAACACTCTGCCTTGGGCTGTCCCAATGACACAGCTCCTCCGAGCAGCCACAGTTGGCCACTGACTTGTAAGTTTTCTAAAAGGGAAAGAGAAGACATCACTAAATCAACATTGATGGGAATGTGAGTGTTGGGCTTTGTGTCAGGGTATAAGGATAGAGCAGATGGGATAGACAGGGGATGAACATCTTGGTTCAAAAACTCTAATGAGGAAACTTTACAATGCCTACTTTACTACAGTACATAACTGAACAGAGTTCTTGTTTAATAAGCTGTATAATTCACGTGAAAGACTAAGGGTTAAACTTGATATGCTAGACCTCAATTCACAAACACACACACACACACACACACACACACACACACATTGAATTTCCAGTTTTCAAATGTTGATGTTATGTAATAACAAGACCACCCAAAAGGTGGCACTAAAAAACAGATAGTCATTGTGTGACCTTCAAGGAAAAAAAAAGAGAGAGAGATGGTAGCAAACTTCAGTCTTCTTTTAGGTTTAAATGCATACGTCGTCCCCTTGCCAGCTTGTAAATATTAAGCAGTTAGTGGTGCTGAAGTAGGACTTCTATTTCAGTCCAGCCTAAAACATTTGAAACGGGTTTGTCTTGCGGCCATGTATGTTTCATGTAATATCTCTTAGCTTTTAATACTAAGTGGCCCCTTCTTTTGTCATCACGAGACATTGGCATTTGTAGGCTCATTTGCTTTTTTTGAGTCATGTTTCTACCATAAGCTTTGAATGGACAAATGATCTTATCTGACTCCAAATGTATACGTTATCGCATGTCTATGGGCTATAGAAAATGAAAGTAGAAAATATGATGTTAAAACTGATATTTACTTTTTGCTTTTTTTTGGCTTCTATGTAAATAACCAAGGTATATTAACACATTTATTTCAAATTGCTAATAAAATTTTCTATGAAAAAATTTAGTGGTAATTGCACATTCTAATAACTCACCAAAAATATATTAGCATCACCAAATTCCCAAGTAGTAGCTGTACTCTAATAAAAGTAGAAAAAAGCCCATTATAAATACTGATGACAAATATGCTTAAATAAATAATACAAAAACAGTATACTATCCCTAGCAGTTATTTGGGAGAGGCAATAAATGATATCCCATTTCCCACTCAGATTCTTTATCAATTAAGAAATACATTAAATGAGTCAACATATGGAGAACAAAAAAAATAATCCTTATTACAGTTAAAACTCAAATCAGAGAAAGTGTTTTGCATCTGGGAGCATGAGGGCTTCTTACTACTGAATCCCAGACTTAGCCTTCCTCACCTTGTCACAGCAGTGCTGGTCTGTGCAGGCTCTCCCAGCAAACACAGACCCACAGAGAAGTAAAGCTATTTCTGTAGAGAAGAAGATGCTGGCTGTAACTTGCTCAGGCCCTCCTTCCAAGCTCACCTGTTAGATAAGCTGTGTGGGGATGAGTGAGGGTGTGAGGGAAGCTGGGAGTGTGACAGTGGGATACTCTCCAGATAGAAGGAAAGGCCAAGAGTAAAGAAGTATATTCTCCCCATACACAAATGGCCTTCCTAATGAAGAGGTTTTTGTCCTCTCTGAAAGAGCCTTACACACTCCCTAATAATAGAGTGCTAGGTTGCAGGGGGAATTTATCTTCTGCAATAACTGTTTTCATAGAATTCTTTATAAAACTACTAGAGGCCCAGTGCACAAAAATTTGTGCACTCGGGGGGTTCCCTCAGCCCAGCCTGTGACCTCTCACAGTCTGGGACCCCTCAGGGGATGTCCACCTGCTGGCTTAGGCCTGCTCCCCGGGGGATCGGGCCTAAGCTGGCAGTCAGACATCCCTCTGGCAGCCCAGGAGCCCTTGGGGGATGTCCACTTGCCAGCGGGGAGCAGGCCTAAGCTGCAGTCAGACATCCTTAGTGTTGCTGAGGAGGTGGGAGAGGCTCCAACCACCACCGCTGTGCTGGCAGCCATCAGCCTGGCTTGTGGCTGAGCAGAGCTCCCCCTGTGGGAGTGCACTGACCACCAGGGGGCAGCTCCTGAATTGAGCGTCTGCCCCCTGGTGGTTGGTGTGTGTCATTGTGACCAGTCATTCCCGGGCGTTCTGCTGTTAGGGTCAATTTGCATATTACCCTTTTATTATGTAGGATGATTCTATTGATTTCAGAGAGAAGAAGGGAGAGGGAAAGATAGAAACATCAATGACAAGAGAGAATCATCGATTGGCTGCCTCCTGCATGTCCTCTGCTGGAGATGGAGCCCACAACCCTGGCTTGTACCCTGACCAGGAACCGAGCCCTGACCTCCTGGTTCATGAGTGAACACTCCACCATTGAGCAATAGCGACCATTTTACTTCATCTACACTAATAAAAGACAAAGATGCTAATTGACCATACCTTCACTATGCCCAAGCCATGTCCACCAGCCAATCAGAGTGACTGTATGCAAATTAACCCGACCAAGATGGCGGACGGCAGCCACGGAGCTGGAGCAAGCAGGAGGCTTGGTTGCCTGGGCGATGGAGGAAGCCAAGCTTCCCACCTGTGCTGAGCCGGCTGCAGCCTCGGCTCATGGCAAGAAAGTTTCAATTATAGAAGACAAATAAATCCCAGATACCTGCTTCCAGCCAGCCTCCACTGGGAGCTTGGGTGGCTAGGGGCCGTGGCCAGCCTGCAAACAGCCATCAGCCCCTCACCCAGACTGGCTAGGCACCCCAGCAGGACCCCCCGACCCTGAAGGGGCTGTGGCCAGCCTACAAACAGACCTCAGCCCCTCACCCAGGATGGCCAGACACCCCAGTGAGGACCCCCAAACTGAAGGTGCTGTGGCCAGCCTGCAAACAGTCATCAGCCACTCACCCAGGCTGGCCACACCCTCATGGGTGAGGATCCCCGCTGGGGGTCTTGGCCAGCCTGCAAACTGCCATCAGGAACTCACCCAGATTGGCCAGGAACCGCAGCAGGACCCCCCACCCTGAAGGGGGTGTGGCCAGCCTGAAAATAGCCCTCAGCTCCTCACCCAGGCTGGCCAGGCACTCCTATATAATAAAAGGGTAATATGCAAATTGACCCTAACAGCAGAATGCCCTGGAATGATTGATCACTATGACACACACTGACCACCAGGGGGCAGATGCTCAATGAAGGAACTTCTCCCTGGTGGTCAGTGCGCTCCTACAGGGGGAGCTCTGCTCAACCACAAGCCAGCACAGCGGTGGTGGTTGGAGCCTCTCCCACCTCCTCAGCAGCGCTAAGGATGCCCGACTGCAGCTTAGGCCTGGTCACTGGTGGCAAGTGGGACATCCCCTGAGGGTTCCTGGGCTGCCAGAGGGATGTCTGACTGCCAGTTTAGGCCCAATCCTCCAGGGAGCAGGCCTAAGCCAGCAGGTGGACATCCCCCGACAGGACCCAGACTACAATAGGGCACAGGCTGGGCTGAGGGACCCCTTGAGTGCACAAATTTTTGTGCACCGGGCCTCTAGTTTTGTTATAAATGTCTATGAAACTATGTAAACTTTTATTCCATTTGACTCTATTCTAGGAGAGTATCTGCCATAATAGCTCAATCATCCTCTGGCTCCTTGTACAGCTTTCCATTATTTTTGTCTGAATTCATTTACTCAGAAAATATTGTCCAAAATGTTACATATTTCTTTGACTGTAACACACTCGCTTAATTTGTCCTATTTTTCTATAAAACCAATTCTGTTGGATTGGCTTCTACTTCAATTATGTTTGATGCATTAATATATGAAATGTTGTCCCACACAATCCAGGGCTTTTTGGACATCTATAGTTTTGTCAATGTTTTTCTATGTGAGTTTACAGATCGATTGAGTCAATAGAAACTTTACATAATTCTAGAAAATTTACTTGTTTGTTGTAATAAATTTGTTAAATTTAGGGTTGGCATCTTTAGAGAGTCCTGAATCTGTACAATGTCTAAGTATTAAGATGTTTCCTGTGTTTACAAGTAGAATGTTTCAAATGCATTCTATGCAAATCTTCTGTGTAATTGGGTCAGTAAAAAAAAAAGATACTATATGAATTATTTTATGTGTATTCATTCAGCTCAATAACCATTTATTGAATGTTTTCATGTGCTGGGTGTTCTATTAAGCATGTAGAATACAAAAATGAATCAGACAGACTTTCCAAACTCAAAGAATAGAACTTGCCTTCTGAAAAGGAAAGCATACAAAGGAACAGAAAATTGTAATATAGAGTGAAAGTGTGTGCATTATAATACAGAGAGATGTGTGCACAGAGGTATGGCCAGAGTGTTTTCTGTGACAGTTTGAAGAAGAAGCTGCTCTCTTGGGCCTGGGGGGTAGGAAAGTAGGAGTTCTTCAGGTAAAAGGCAGTCAGGGAGCAGGAAGGACATTCCAGGCAAAGGAGCAGCAGGGTGCCCAGAGCAGAGGAGGAGATAATGGTGCTGGAAGGACCTGTAAGTAGTTCAATATGCTGGTAGCACAGGATGGTGAGAGATGAAGCTCAAAAGACAAACATGAAGCCAGAACAAGATAGGCCTTGCTTTTCATTTGTTTGTTTAGTTACAGCTCACTTCGTTCCAGAAAAGTTTTCAAGTGCCTTGAAGGGCTGAGAATACCACCCAAAGCCATTTGGAGCTCTTCGAAGACGTTGGCGAACCTCATGGGGAAAGCAACGTCATCCGATTTGCACTGTAGGAGGAAAATGCTGTCTTCTTAGAAGAGAATAGATGGTAAGGAGCAAAGACAAAGTCAGAGGGGCCAGTTACTAAGTTGCTAGAGTTAGTTGGTTGATAAATGCACTGGGGGTGGGGGGTGGGGGTGGGGCTGAATTAAAGGAGAAGCTTTGGTGATGGAAGGAAGAGCTCTAAAATAAGCACAAGTACGTGGTTTGCTAATACATATTTTATCAATGAATGATTTGTATCTAATCAGATGTGTGGGGTGAGGAAGAGAGAAGTCAAGGATAAATTGCAGTTTCAGGCTTGGGAAACCAGGTGGGTGACAAGACAAGTCTTTGCTTGGATGGTGAATGCATTCCTTCTGAGCTCTTTGTATGCCTGGGAAAAGCAACTGTTGCTTATA